GGGGAAGACTGTTTTGATAAAAAAAAAAAAAAAAACAACAACTCAGATTTGATAAAGAAGCTTCTGTACAAATTCTCTCACAACATTTGCCCAAGAATCCATGTTTTTTCCAAGAGATGATGTAACATCCTGCACATAAACAGCAAGCATTTTCTCTGAAAATTAATTCATAAATAGAATTTATATCTGTATAGTAATCAAGCTCATATCAAGTATTTTATTTACGGAATGATAGTAAATAAACATGGATGTGGGCATCCACAAATATGTGCTGTAAATATTTCAGTATTTTTTTTCTCAGTTATTACTTTTTTTTAGATTTCTAATATTTCTCACTGCTATATAATATAAGCTGTATGAAACGCAATTTCGTTCTGTATGCACTCTGTCCATACAAAATGACAAATAAAGAAGTCTAAGCCTAAGTCTAAGTCTAGTCTATATCAATAATGAAGCATGATGCTTGTCTATCTCTAGCAAATACGTGTATAAAACCAGTACAGAACTAATTATGTAGAAATAAATTTATCTATAGTTATGATATAATGTTTTATTTTAACTGTAGTTGTGCTTGGTTTTCTCTGTATGGCCTTGTGCCCAAAAGAAGTGGAAAACATCCAATTCTTATCCATTTCTTGAATCCACTGTCCACTTAACTCCATTGTAGTTGTGTTTTTTTTCTTTCTCTCTCTCTCTCTTTTTGCTGGCAATAGTGGTGTCTGGAAAATAGGACACCTCTGTGGTGGCTTTGACTACAACTGTTGGACCAGAGTTGGGAGCTGAAGGTGTTGATTAGGTTTTTCCTCCAGAATAATGCATTAAATTGCTTTTTATTGGAAATATTCTTAGGATTGTTCTAATGTTGAAATATGCCAGGGTTATATCCTCTCAAATGATTTTCTATAATTTTTATATTTGTTTTTTATTTTCATATGATTAATTTACACACCCCCTCCACCCACCCACCCATCCCCATCCCTCTTCTTACCTCTCCATGCTCCTTATCCATCCATCCCGTCCTCCCGAGAGCCATCTCATTGGCCCTCGCCTAGCAACCGTATGATAATTTGGTATAATGTGACACCCCCTGATGCATGATAGGGGCTGTAAGTCAACATACGTCCCCCACCTCTTTTTCAGCTGGTGGCTTGTGCTCGTGTTTGAAAGGGAAGACGGATGAAGCAGGGAGGCTGAATACATTTGAGGGAGAGAAAAGGGGATTTCACGCTCATGTCGTTACATGACTGGTGTCCGGCGGCTAAACCTGTCATCTCCCTCCCTGGAGGGCTTTTTTCCTCCCTTTTTATCCCTCAGCATCTGATTGTCTCTTTTATTATTCCCAGCTTCTCTCCACATGGCTCCGTTTTAGCCCATATGTATATCTGGAGCTGTGAACAAATAAAAAAAAATATATCTGAAGCAGCACAGTGTGGGCAGGCGGGAAACCAGGCAGCCTCTCCGCATCTAGAGGACCCAAACACCCGTATGTACTTCTGACATGCAGGCAGGCAGGGAGGGGAAGGAACACAAAGATGGCTGCTCCATTTGTGTCTGACGTGAGCACGGCGGCTGTGAAGGACATCCTGATGGAGACACCTTTCATTCTTGGTGTTTCTTCTCTATGTTTTAAGCAATAAAAACCATAACTATAAGCTTTTTAATGCTTCTCTGAGGGGTAGATCCTTTTTCTTTTTGGTTCCTCATTTTAATGTGTCTTTGATTTTCAACAAAATAAGTGATGTAGCAAAACAAAAGCTCCCTTGATCGTGTTTGACCTTTCCATCGATCCCAGTGAGGTGACCACTCTAAGTCCGTACAAGGAGCACAGACCTGAGGAGAGAAATCATGGAAATAAGCATGAGCCTGCTAGTTTTTAAATGATTCATTTATTCATCTCTTAGAATTATTTATAACATCATGATGAGTTTGTTCATCTACTGGATCGCTTTTTGTCTGTCTATGATTAATTGAGCTTATAGGACATTAATAATGAGCCTGTGAGTCAGGATTTAAAAACACTGTCATGGCTGAGGATGTCTGTTTATATTCTGTTGGATTTCTTCTGTCAGAGGAGAAGATCTTTGCTCTGTTTTTAGTATTTATTTTCTCATTGTGAATCCACTCTTCCTGTGTGCCTTTGTGTCTTGATTCAATTTTTGATTCTGCTTCTAGCATAGCACCGATTTACAACATTTGTCATCTCAAGTCACTTTTGGGTGACGATTCAGTTAAATCAGATTTTTTTAAAGTTTTTTATCTGAACTCATCTGATTGTATCAAATTATAAAATTTGTAGAGTACGCTCCGCCTTGATGAGCATGTACAGTGCATTTTTACAGAATAATCATGATTCAGGATTTCATCTCTTCATTGCGGCACATGTCAGTAGGTGGGATGAATCAAATAAGCATACACTATATGTTCTTTGCCGTTGATGCAGCAGGAATAACTGGAAAACATTTTAAGCAAAGTTTTGAGTGAGTGATATCAGCATCTGTAGTAATATGCAGACACATTTCTTTAAGGGGTAATGCAGTTTCCAGGGTTTTTTTCTTATCTCCTTGCATTTTCGCTTCCTCTACCAGGAACTGAAGTTGTACTTTGCCTTTTTTACAAGAACCTTTACTTCTGTTTTGAGCATTTGAAGCATTCCATTTTTTTTGTACTTTATTTAACAATATTTTCAGCATAATCAGTATCAAATAGTCAAGGGGTCAATCTTTCTGTTAATTTCAACTTTGATTGATTGATGATTTTAAGCATCATTTTCTGTTTTCAGCTGTCTGTGGAGGTGTTTTAGCATACAAGAAGCCCTGTGAATCTATTACAGACTTTTAAGTGGCAAGTTGCTACATTTGTAGGGTTCAAGAGCAATTTGTGTGGATATTACCAACCTCATCTCATTTTAAAGGAATTCTAATCCAACTCTTTGAAACTATTATAATTTCACTACTAGAACACATGACTTTTATTTTCACCTCTGTTTATTTGAATTTAAACAGCCGCTTCTCATTTAATCTGATTTGATAAAATGGGATATCTGATGTCATGTCTGTTTTCTTGCTGTGAGCAGATGTATAATGTATGAATCTGTGAAAGTTATAAAGTATAGAAAATTCAGCAGAATGATTCTTTCAGCTGTTGAATATCTCAGCCTTCCTATTCTGTAATGGGAGCATCTGAGCAAAGCCTCTGCTTGCTATTGTGGGAGGGGTTATGTCTAGTTATTTAGTGATCCTATCAATAAAAGCGACAATCATCCCAGATCAAGTTCCTGAATGATAAGTTCAAAGGAATGTATCAGTATCATTGATCTCAAAATCATTCTTCCTGCTTGTCCAAACCTCCCTATTTTGCCTGTAATTTATAAGTAATTATTTTAAATATAAAAATATAAAGCATTGCATTCTTCAATCTGTTTCCATAATCATCTATAGAGGTGCAGCAGGAGGTCCAAGCCTCCGTGTTCTGTCTGAGTACTCCATTGTTGGGCAGCAATGCACAACCAACTTTGTAAGGATTGAGCAAATATGTAAAACATGTGGATGGATTAAACAATACCTATAATAAGTATGATAATTTGTGATGCATGACTGAAGAGTCAGAAGATAAAAACAAGACAAATGCGAATCCATCGTGCAAAAGATCAGTATCTATCAGAAGTGGTCCAAGAAGGTAGGAGTGATGAACTACTGTAACAACAGGGTCATGGTACATTGACTCACATTAGGAGCAAATGGTTCTTTCAATTCTAGTGGGTTTGAAAATGATGTCTAACAAAGAACATTCAGCTTTTATGGTCATGTTATTCTTCTGATGGAAAAGAAGACATAATGCATTGCAGGGTATATGTTGCTCAATAGCTGTTAACCCGTCACTGCTCATGCTGGTCATAATGTTATGCTTGTTTTCTATACATTGAAATACAGTATGAACCTAAAACATGATTGTAGACTGGATTCTTTGTTTTCTTTAATCATCTAATCATTGACTTAGATAGATTTTTTTGTAAGTTATTACCTTCTTACCTATTCTGTTTTTTTTTTTTTTTTGCAATGAACATAACCGCCTATGGAATCATTTATCTTTTTTTTAGTTGATTCAAAATTATGCAATCTTAGATGTGGACGGAATTTTTTCTTATCCTGTAAATTTACCTTCATTGTATACTCTACACTTTATTCTTAATTTGTGCTCTATATCTTATTGTTTGTTAAAATCTGAATGCTTCAATTTGTTTGGTTTTGGGTACACCTGAATTTAATGAAGATGAAGGGTCATTTTTACTCTATTCTTTTAAATTCTCTAAAATTCTTCTAAGAGCAAACCTTCAGCTTGTGTCCTATAGACTTAGATGTTAGACCACGGAAAACTGCAGTTCTGTGTCAACCAGGAAAAACCAGATCTGCACCTTTCTAGTAATATTTTCTATTTTGAATACTAAAATCATCCCAGATTATTTTATTGGACGGCAATCAAAACGATCAAACCTGCTTCTGTATGTATGCGGACATGCAGTTGCCTGCTGCTTGTGTGGAGTGGGGGTGTACATTAGTGGTCGTGCATTCAGCCTCCTCCACCCATGTCCTATGCCTGTTCTCCCCCATCTCCATCCTGATACTCGGTCACCTGCACCTCTATCTTGTAAAATGTGGGGATAGTAGCACTCACACTACTGTTGCTCCCCCACCTCCTTCCCACTTCTTGCCTTTGGTTCATTCATGCTCTCACTACCATTCACTCACTCAGTTTATTGTTTTTCTTTTAATTGTGCATCTCTATCATGTGTTTATTCATGTGAAGCTCTGAGCAGAAAAAAATAATTGCAGCCTGGCCGCTTAAAAACAGAAAATAAAACACAAAAAGATGTCAATTTTCACAAATGGAGTAAAAGAGAGCGTTGTTACCGTGGAAACAGCTCCCCTTGCACCGCCCCCTCCTCCCTCCATCTTTCTCCTCCCATCCACCTCTGTGTTGGTGATGCTCGTGTGTCTTTTCTCTCCACCCGGTTTGTCCTCACCTCTCCTGGACATGCTCCTCTCACACTGCCAGAGGAGGACGCACGAGGAGGAGGAGAAGGAGAAAGAGGAGATGAGGAGAAGCAGCTGCCTCTTCTCTCCTATTGCTCCATCACTTTAAAATGAGAAGAGCAACAACCAAAAGAAAACAGGACACAGGAATTACTTTGGTACCAGAACCCCTACTCTTCCCCATTCTCATTTTCAAGGAGGGCATTTTTCTTCCCTTTCCCCCCCTTTCCTTTTCTACCCCGATTTTTTCCTCTGAGGTCCCGGTTTTGTTTTTGTCATCAGCAAGCCCCTGAACTTCTCTGGGATTTCAGGTGAGGCGCGCGTGTGCAGTGTGTGGTGCCTTTCCCCATCATTTTTCTCTACCTATCATGGCTCACGCGGCCTCCCAGCTGAAGAAGAATCGGGGGGAAGTGGATGTGAATGCATTAGAGGACGAGAAGGAGAAGCGGAGGAAGAGCAGGAGAGCATCGTCCCGGGAACAAAAGAGAAAGGTAACAGGCGAGGGCTGGCAGCCTGGTCCGGCTGGTGGCTTCATCTGCTCTGCTCTCTCAGTATCACTGGAGCGTAGCGCTGTGCACGCATGTGTGTGCTCATAAGACTTCATCAGAGAGGTTCGGAGGAACCATGTGGGTTTATTCATTGATGAGCCCTCATTGGTGCATTATCTGCTTCTGGCTTCCTAACCATGTTTGCTACATGTATCATAATAACTCTTTTGTTGGTCGTCAGCATCAAATGTTTCATCTTGACTCAATGTCAAACATTGTAGAGATGCAATGATCTGGCTTTTTCTGCAACATAGCAGTTTCAGGTTTCTTCAGAGTCTGACCAGTGGGTTCACTTTTTGACACTACAATATTTTTTTCTTAGAACTACATCACATAAAAGAAAATAATGTCCTTAGGCTTCTAGGAAAATCTGAGGCATTTGGTTGCCAATTGGAAATGGAGGAATTAAAAGATCATCCCAGATTATGAATTAAAATCTTGATCTATTATGTTTTCTATAGACGCCTGCATTAAACTACATGTTTATTGATGCATTTAAGAGCTAAAGATTGACAGAGTTTCAACAAATGTGATCAGACTCAACATAATTTTATTTAATCAGTGGTTTAACCCATATTCTTGTAAGGGTTCTAACACACAAAAGAGGAAGAAAACATGCATTGCAGGATCTTTTACAAGATGTAGTAGTTTTGATTGCTAAAGCAAATGAAGTAATCCCAGTTTTTGTTATCCCCGACCCAAAAGTCCCTGATCTTTCATGGATTTTCACTTTATTGGCATGTTGTTAGTTAATTCATAGAAAAAAATGTGAGATTCCTATCTTTATTTTTTTATTTTTTATTTTTTTTTTACCATAAACAAGATCAGCCTTTTTGGTATTTGATGTGGTCAAATGTTTGGTGCATGTCTAATAATGTTACGCCCTATCCTAACATGATGCCCTCAGAAACCTGTCTCCAGATGATCCGAGTTCTCAGGCTTTGTTTGCCTCCCTCCAACCCTCTCAGCTCTGCTGCTACTGCATTTCTGTGTGTTTTTTGCTGAAAAACACCAAAAACATGTGATCTCTCCTTGTGCTTCTCTATAAGACTGTGATGGTAAGCTTGCAGACAGCACAAACACAAGATGTATGCAGCTGGTCTTTTGTGATTTTTGTTTAAGTGAGTTTTACCTTGGCGTCTTGCATGTTTGTGTGTGTGTGCTTGAATGCATAGACAGCCATGTATAATGCATACTCAACTGATTTATTGATGACAAAGCTTTTTTGTATGATGAAAACTGAAATGCACGTGTATCTCCATGACTTCCTACCTCTCTAACATATCCAAGCTTGAGTTTGGGCAAAACACAGGTAATCTTACAAAACAAAAAAAATAATTAAACGGAATAAGAAGTTTTAAACAAATAAACACAAATATAAGTATCAGCTTTTCTGCGACTGTTTCTGAGAGCATTTCTCTTATTGATGTTGGTAAATTTGACCGTGAGGGATCAATCCAATAACAGTGTACTTTGTGCCAATGGGTGCATGGTTTTGAATTATGCTGCTGGCATTGTTATTTGACCTTCGCCTATACAAGAACTGAGCCGTAACTGAAAAATCTTTTAGAAAGAGAAAAAAGATTAATAAGGTGAAGGAAAGTTCTGGACCTCTCTCTGTGGCACCGACCATGTGAGAGACCTCACTCACTTTTCACATGTCTGAGATGAAGATCTGTGTTTGAGGAGGTAGTCTGAACATAGGGTCATGTTTCTAGAGTCAGTGATGAAGAGGACAGGTGAAGAGATGTTTCTTTTGAATAAATATGGGTCATCTATGATGGTCAATGCCCTTTTCTACAGTTCAGTGACTATTTTTCATATTTCTTTTGTCTTTTTTACTTATTGTAATGGTGTTTCCAAACCTTTAGTTGAGCTCCAATGTTTGTTTATTATTCAGTTTACTTATTCGGGTCCTATTTGTGAGTTTTATGCCAATAGTTATTAATATGACACATATACTAAATGATACAGAGACAACAACCCTCAACTTAATAAGTACCCTTTTTTCTGTACTGTACTATGGAGAATGCAAGAAGTTATTTCAGTTTTTGGTTCATTTGAATTTTTTATTTTTTTTAAGCCCATTGCCCCTGCTGGTGGCCTTCCAGCTCTCCTTTTGCCTCTGAACACTGTCTGACTAAGCACCGTCAGTGTCATAGATGCAGAGCAGGAAAGAATCATGCAAACGACTTTTTATTACATTGCAATACAGCCAATAATGATGCCTGATGCATACTTAATGATTTGTTATATGAAGGAAAAATTACATTCTGGGCAAATTCCTATTATTATACAACTTGACATTGCTGCAGAGTGATATTGCTGCGCTGCTGCAAACTTGTACAACAATCTGCTTTGAGTCATTGCTTTCACAGCTCCTACAGCTCTATATTTAGAATTCAAAACAGGTAGAAAACTTTGTATGGAGAACACTTGTAAAAGCAGAGCTGCATTAGTCACTAGGCAGGCTGATTTCTTCATACACTATGTCAGGAACAGACACTGTATTTTTGTGGCCGGATCACAGTTCATTTCAGGGACACATTTGTTTGCACCTGTGGTTACGATGGGTGAGAAACAGTTTGTAATGAGTATATTACAGCCGCATAATGTTACAGTGAAACATTGTCTTTGATTCTTCTTTGCATATTTCTACAACGCTTAGTTTCCTGTTCCATCTCTTATTCACTCTTCTCTTTAAAATTATCTACAACATCTCGGTCTGTGCAAAAGCTTGGGCCACATGGTCTTTATGGGTTAGGTGGGACACTTCTCTGTTGAATTAGCCATATGTGTCTGTTCAAAAAATCCTACTGATGAAAAATTTCACTTTAAAGATCTCAGTTTACAGAGAAAATTGGCAAAAGCAATGTGGGGTTTAAACTTTGCTACCATTGGATGTTTTTTGTGCTTTGTTCTAATACTGTAACTCAGTGCAGTAATCCCCCCAAAAAAGTTGCATTTGAATTAATTCCAAAATTTATTTTAGAAATACAATGAAACTTGTACTACTGTTTTGTTTCTTAAGATTGAGCATTTTTCCCAACTGAAAAAGTTTGCTCGAATAAAATGCTTGAATTTTTTCTTGATGTAAGATTTATTGTTATGCTAAATTTATTGTTAGGCTTTTCGTACATTTTCAAACATATCCATATTTGTAAAATATGACCTGTAGAGTTTCGTAAATACTAACGTTGAACATTAGTCAATCTATAAGTTGTAATGTCAGACTCGATACATTTGCTGATTTTGTCTTGTTAAAATTGTCAGTTTAAAACGCTCTAAACTATTCTACAATATTCTAAAAATGCACTTCAAGAATTTTACTTTCACTTCTCTCCCAAAATAAACCTAAGTCCACTCTGACTATCAGGTAACTCGTCTTTGCATCTTTACTTTCATTATGTTATGTTTCTGTGTAAATCACAACAAAACATTCCCTTTTTTTGCAAATGCCTAAACAGTTACAGTTAGTTAGTGCACGGTGAATTTGGGGGGAAAGACAGTCTGAATTAAAATTAAAAATTAAAAAAACAAAACAATTCAAATAGGAAAAGATAAGTAATGATTATAATTGTGATTCTACCATCTCACTATATATCTCAGTCTGATGAACTACTAGATAAATTTATTTTATTTTATTAATAACCTGGTAGAAAAGCTCCTCATGTGTGTTTGGTAAATAGCTGGAATCTCCTCCTTGCGTTATTTCTAAGGGTCAGCTGGTTGCATGTTGGGGACATTTCAATGGGAAATCCCTATCTCTTTTCTCCACCAATTTTCCAAGATGGTTTAGTTTCAATGACATTCTTCTAAAGCCGGGATCTCCCAGTGGATTCCCACACAAGAAAAGAGAGAGAAAAGCGAAGCATAATTTTTCTCTTCATGTGTCCTAGTTTTACAAGGTTTCCCAGAACTGAAGCATACAGCACTTTGACACAGTACTGGTTATTTCTCAATCAAGAGAGATGTTTCTGTGCACCTTTATGTATAAAACAGATATAATGCTTTAGCCTTCAAAGACCTTTAGAACACAGTGTCAGCAGTTGTGTGTTGCTATTATTTATTATCCTCATATATCCTCTATTTCAAGTCTAAATGATCAGTGAATCTAAAGTAAAGGGGATTAAATAAGTGCTGGAAGGGGAGTAGCAGTGTTCAAATAAGATTTTAGCTCAGTCCTGCACTTTGAGGTTGCCTGTGGGGGAAGTGGCAATACTGGAATCTTTTCTTTCCTCAGAGGAAAATCTAAAAGAGAGAAAAACGTTCCAATTGCTACAGGGGGAGAGACCCATAAAGTAATTCCATATTTTATGTCCTTTCTTTTTCCTTTTCTTTCTCTATCTGTCCCCTTTCAGTTATATTTCTTTCATTAGTAGATGTGTTTTGCAACCCTCATTCCTATCACCACCTCCTTTAGCCCTCGTCCGTTACCATAAGCCCATCATATATGGAGGTTAATGAATTCAGTGCCCATGCGTGCCTCAGTTAATTGCATTGACATCAGGAACTCCTCTCTCAATTACTAAATGTTTTCACTACCAAGATGGCCACTGCCTAGAGAACCCATTACGGAAGAGAAGTGCTGAGCTTGTGTTGGTGACAAAGAAGGGTATATAAACAGGAAACGTTGAGAGCATGATTGCAACAAACATTTTTTCACTTGAGGTGAAAATATTTGACTAGTTCAAAGTGGTTAAGTTTTACAAAAAGGCACATTGAGCTGAAAATGTATGTTCAAATTCTTGTCAGCTAATTTCCATCACTATGTCATTTCTTAATTGCCCTTGTAGCCCGTAGCAGTTGTAATGGTTGACTGGGCTGTATTACAGAGTTCTGCAGGACATATATCTTGTACTTGAAAATCAAAATCAAAGTTCTAGTCTCTATGGGCGATATCGTTCTCCCTTTTTGGGACTTTGAGGTTTTGATTTTCAGTT